GGGGGGGGGGGGGGGGCTGGGGGGGGGGGTTACCGGACGTGCAAGAGCGCGGCTGATGAGGGTTGCGCTCGCCGGAGCCAAGGCCTGCGTCCAGACGCTCTTACAAGCCTTCGCGGTTCTCCTCGCTGCTCGAGCGACTGGCTCAGCACCCGCGCCCTCGAGGCGTGCGCGGCGCCCGGTGCCCGGTGCTGCAGGCGCGATTGTCCGCCAGGGTGTCCGCCAACCTAGCTGATTAACAGCCACCCACGGGGGAGACCTTGGGGAGAAGCTCCGCGTCCCGGCCGGGGGAAGGGGCTGCGCCGCGACCGTCCTGCATCCCGACCCCTGGAACTGCCGCCGCCTCATCATTTCCAGCCCCTCCCATCCCTGCCCCTAACCTTAGTTAGTATTTGCCGGCGGGCGGCCAAGAGGACGCAGGGAGTCCGGAGGCAGCAAGACGGCGCAGCTGCGGCTGCGGCGGCGGCGCCGGCTCCGCGCACAATGAGCAGCATTCAGAGCGGCTGCTGGGGGGAGGCGCCAATCAGGGGCCGGCCCGATCCCTGCTCTCCAACAACTGCTTCCTCCCCCCGCGGAGCTGCGGCGCGCAACAGGCGGGACGAAAGAGCAGAGCGCGGGCAGAGGAGGCTCTTCCCCCGAACCCAGTGTTGGAATATGCGTGCAATAAGGGAAGGGAGACGTCTCTCGTACGAATAGAAAAACACATCTATAGGAAAGATAAAATGCCCGTTTGTTGTAGCAGTAGACGAAGAGACTTTTGCTTAACCATAAATAAGTTTGCTGTAACTTTGAGATAAGGAAACATCTATGAAAAGATGTTCACGCTAGGAGGGAGATGTTCATGCTGATAGAACAAAAACTATTGTAATAAGCTGATCCATTTTATTCTATTAATAACAATTGGCTAAATTTTAAACTAAAAGGTTGGAGATTCAATCCCTTTTGCGGCCGTCCACGCAGACACCTTTGGGTGAATAAACATTCTTTGACTTCTATTGATCGTCTGGTCTTGCTTTAATCCCAGTTTGGGGGGGGGGGGATGAAACCTTATGAAAAAGGGCTCTCTGTTTCATCCTTTTCCTTACCTGTGGGGAGTCAAGGGATGACAAGGAAACTAATGTTTATGGACCTCCACACATTCCTCTCATTTCTGTTATTGTTGAAAGACATTGGGCAGACATCCTGTCTCCTTAAGTGTCCAGGCCATAAAGATAAGGTGGGGGGGAACTGACCCCAATTGATAGCCTCCAGAACACTCTTCAGCTGCTCTGGAGATGCCTCTACACTCCAGGAAACAATAAATATCAGAAGACAAAAGGGATGCCCCAAAACTTTGACTGGCAACCAATGGGTCATCAGGGAGAGAAGTTTCCCCCAATAATAAGGAGGATCCCAAATTTATGTCAATTGTAGCCAATCAATTTGTCAATTGCTATATCTCTGTGTAAGAAACATGTATAAAATCTTCTTTGAGTGTGATCGGGGTACTCCTCTGCCTTAAGGGGAGACCCCAGCTGACTCTATTGCCTTACTTTCAATAAAACTTTAAAACCTCAGCTGGTACTTTTGTGTCTGATCTTCTGCGGGACTGAATCCTAATTGGGGAGAGTCAGAAACTCTCAAATTTTGCTAACAGGGAGGAAGGAAGTTAATCCTTCTGACACCCTCGTCTCACCCCAGCCACCGGCCACCTGAGCAGCAAACCTCCATGTGGGGCAGCCAAAGCAAAGAGGCCTGGCAGAACCTGTGGGGGGCTCAGCAGCTTTCTGTGGCCTTCCCCGACCCTGTAGGGGCAGGCCACTCACCTATCAGCGGACAAGGGCATGGAGGAATGGGAAAAGGACACCCCCCACACTTAATCCTTAAATCCACAGATGCAGCTTCCCCAGGTGACCCAAAAAATATATGGGAAATGTTTTGGTTTTTGCTGATTTTTGCAAGGGATAAGGAAGTTTAGCAACAGCTCCTGCCTGCTGATGGTCCCCATTCCCTTGATTTTCTCCTTGGATTTTGCGAACAGGTGGGGAAAGAGCAAAGGCACTCTTCATTTCAGTATCCCTGCAGGAAAAATCTGTCTTTTCAAAGAGTGGAGTTCTCTTTTTGTTTCTGTGCTTAAATCCTTCTACAGGACTATGCCATCAGGTTTAGGATTCAGTTATGTACTTACAGGCAATGCAACTCGTTTATATAACTTTCATTAAAAATTTTATCTTGCCACCATATTGACTATGGCTGATATGCATCTGATAGACCATAATAGCAAACAGATTTCTGAAAACAGGACAGCAAAAGTAAATATACACTGAGGACATATTGATAAACTTTGCAAAAATAATAGTAGATGAACCTAAAATGTGGAATGCCTCATCTTCTAAATGCAAAGCAGTCAAAGGAACTGAAAGCAAAGTTCTTTATCCTGTGCAAGCTTGGTCAGGATTTGTGCTCCTTATAGGACAGTGGTGGGGGAACTGGAGACACTGGCACTGTGTTCAGCACCTGATTTCGAAGGAGGAAGATTTTTATTCTTTCAAAAATCCACAAAAAAATCAGGAGGATGCCAACATACTGGATCCAGGCAAACTTCATCATCTCCCAGAAGCCTGGCTGATATGTACTAAAAGTCAAGGAGTATAGTATTTGGAATTTAAAGCATATTCACACAAGGACAGGATATGCACCTCAGATTCATTTGGCTACTAGAGTGAACTGGGAAGTATCCCCCCTCCCCCCAAAAATGGCAGAAGACAGTGAAGAAATGAGAATTCCCCAAGATCTCCTTTCCCCCAGACCAATATAAAATGTACCATAAAACTTTTAAACTTTTTTTAAAAAGCTACAATCATTCTCTAGAGTTACATCCCATTTGAGTTTCATGGCATTTTTCTAACACAGCTGCTTAATGCTTGTAATGGTCTTCAAGGCTACAAGTCTTAGTACAACAGCCATAGTAACATAAACCACCATTCAGAATGGTACCCATCACCAACTGGCAGCCAAAGGATATGCAATCAGTTCCACTGGATAATGGATGAAGGCCTGGATTACAAATGGTTGATCTGGTGATCTTCCAGTCACCCAGATGGGACTGGGACCAGACAAAACTGTTGTAACTGTAAAAGAAATAACTATAATTAATATTAAGCCAAATAATCTGAGAAAGGCCAGAAACCTGTAGCGTACAAACAACTGAGAACATTCAGTGAAAACTTACCATTCCTCTTCTGATACGTTTCAATGATGTGCACAAAATCATAGTCTTGCGCAAAAGGACTTGTACTATTGATCACAGATACCTGTCACAGTGAGATAATTTTGCATTAGACACCGGACCTTACTAGCTGGTAAACTTGCATCAGAACACATGATGAATACTTTCAGGCATATACCAAGTGATATGATGCCACACAGGTTTCTACGTTTGAGACCTTACACTCTGAAAATGAGGAAGCGTTAACTTGTGCTCTTGGAGTATTGGATAAGGGGAACGCTTGGTTTCATATAAGCACAAAGCCCTTCATAATTGCTCAGAATTCGTAAATTGCCAACTGACCAGATATACACTGTCAATATTCATAAAAATCGTGATTGAGATATTATCATATTTGGTTCTGATATAAATACATTTAATTAAAATCATTAACACATTTTAAAGTAAGTTGATCATTTTCTAACAGGTATGACACATGCGCATTTTCCCCTTTTCTCTATTTAGTGCCTGGCAATGTTTTAACCAAATACTTTGAAAGAATTTGTAATATATATTTTCCTTTCATAAACCAAGGTGTTCTGTTTTTTCAAGGTAAGTAGATGGCATTATTGGACCTTAATAAAACAGGACAATTTATTTATTTATTTATATTTCAGATTTAGATACCACCCATCTCACAAAAAGTGACTCTGGGTGGTTCACGATAAAACAGCAATAAATATTAAAATACAATAAAACAATATAAAATACAGTAAAAATAGAAT